GGTACACTACCACCTACAAGATGGGCATGGGTACACTACCGCCCACAAGATGGGCATGGGTACACTACCACCTACAAGATGGGCATGGGTACACTACCCCCTACAAGATGGGCATGGGTACACTACCCCCCTACAAGATGGGCATGGGTACACTACCACCTACAAGATGGGCATGGGTACACTACCACCTACAAGATGGGCATGGGTACACTACCACCTACAAGATGGGCATGGGTACACTACCACCTACAAGATGGGCATGGGTACACTACCCCCAACAAGATGGGCATGGGTACACTACCACCTACAAGATGGGCATGGGTACACTACCACCTACAAGATGGGCATGGGTACACTACCACCTACAAGATGGGCATGGGTACACTACCACCTACAAGATGGGCATGGGTACACTACCACCTACAAGATGGGCATGGGTACACTACCACCTACAAGATGGGCATGGGTACACTACCACCTACAAGATGGGCATGGGTACACTACCACCCCTACAAGATGGGCATGGGTACACTACCACCTACAAGATGGGCATGGGTACACTACCACCTACAAGATGGGCATGGGTACACTACCACCTACAAGATGGGCATGGGTACACTACCACCTACAAGATGGGCATGGGTACACTACCACCTACAAGATGGGCATGGGTACACTACCACCTACAAGATGGGCATGGGTACACTACCACCTACAAGATGGGCATGGGTACACTACCACCTACAAGATGGGCATGGGTACACTACCACCTACAAGATGGGCATGGGTACACTACCACCTACAAGATGGGCATGGGTACACTACCACCTACAAGATGGGCATGGGTACACTACCACCTACAAGATGGGCATGGGTACACTACCACCTACAAGATGGGCATGGGTACACTACCACCTACAAGATGGGCATGGGTACACTACCACCTACAAGATGGGCATGGGTACACTACCACCCACAAGATGGGCATGGGTACACTACCACCTACAAGATGGGCATGGGTACACTACCCCCTACAAGATGGGCATGGGTACACTATCACCTACAAGATGGGCATGGGTACACTACCACCTACAAGATGGGCATGGGTACACTACCACCCACAAGATGGGCATGGGTACACTACCACCTACAAGATGGGCATGGGTACACTACCACCTACAAGATGGGCATGGGTACACTACCCCCTACAAGATGGGCATGGGTACACTACCACCTACAAGATGGGCATGGGTACACTACCCCCTACAAGATGGGCATGGGTACACTACCACCTACAAGATGGGCATGGGTACACTACCACCCACAAGATGGGCATGGGTACACTACCCCCTACAAGATGGGCATGGGTACACTACCACCTACAAGATGGGCATGGGTACACTACCACCTACAAGATGGGCATGGGTACACTACCACCTACAAGATGGGCATGGGTACACTACCCCCTACAAGATGGGCATGGGTACACTACCCCCTACAAGATGGGCATGGGTACACTACCCCCTACAAGATGGGCATGGTCTTTAAAAGACAGACAATAATATCAACAATATTGAATGTTATATATAAAATATAGCAATACAATAACTTACGGTGAAATTATTTTCCCGTAGACAGGAAATAGTGCGATGAAAATGGGATCCCTCAAATATATGAATAAATAATCCAGTTGAACAGTTTCCAGGCACGACCATACAGAACTCAATGTGAGTCATCTTAGACCCAGTGGAGGGTAGAGGTAGTCCTTCACACAGTGGAGGGTAGAGGTAGACCTTCACACAGTGGAGGGTAGAGGTAGACCTTCACACAGTGGAGGGTAGAGGTAGACCTACACACAGTGGAGGGTAGAGGTAGACCTACACACAGTGGAGGGTAGAGGTAGACCTTCACACAGTGGAGGGTAGAGGTAGACCTACACACAGTGGAGGGTAGAGGGAGACCTTCACACAGTGGAGGGTAGAGGTAGACCTACACACCGTGGAGGGTAGAGGGAGACCTTCACACAGTGGAGGGTAGAGGGAGACCTTCACACAGTGGAGGGTAGAGGTAGACCTACACACAGTGGAGGGTAGAGGTAGACCTTCACACAGTGGAGGGTAGAGGTAGACCTACACACAGTGGAGGGTAGAGGTAGACCTACACACAGTGGAGGGTAGAGGTAGACCTTCACACAGTGGAGGGTAGAGGTAGACCTACACACAGTGGAGGGTAGAGGGTGACCTACACACAGTGGAGGGTAGAGGGTGACCTACACACAGTGGAGGGTAGAGGTAGACCTACACACAGTGGAGGGTAGAGGGAGACCTACACACAGTGGAGGGTAGAGGTAGACCTACACACAGTGGAGGGTAGAGGTAGACCTTCACACAGTGGAGGGTAGAGGGAGACCTACACACAGTGGAGGGTAGAGGTAGACCTTCACACAGTGGAGGGTAGAGGTAAACCTTCACACAGTGGAGGGTAGAGGGAGACCTACACACAGTGGAGGGTAGAGGTAGACCCACACACAGTGGAGGGTAGAGGGAGACCTACACACAGTGGAGGGTAGAGGTAGACCTACACACAGTGGAGGGTAGAGGGAGACCTACACACAGTGGAGGGTAGAGGTAGACCTACACACAGTGGAGGGTAGAGGTAGACCTTCACACAGTGGAGGGTAGAGGTAGACCTACACACAGTGGAGGGTAGAGGTAGACCTACACACAGTGGAGGGTAGAGGTAGACCTACACACAGTGGAGGGTAGAGGTAGACCTACACACAGTGGAGGGTAGAGGTAGACCTACACACAGTGGAGGGTAGAGGTAGACCTACACACAGTGGAGGGTAGAGGTAGACCTACACACAGTGGAGGGTAGAGGTAGACCTACACACAGTGGACGGTAGAGGTAGACCTACACACAGTGGAGGGTAGAGGTAGACCTACACACAGTGGACGGTAGAGGTAGACCTACACACAGTGGACGGTAGAGGTAGACCTACACACAGTGGACGGTAGAGATAGACCTTCACACAGTGGAGGGTAGAGGTAGACCTTCACACAGTGGAGGGTAGAGGTAGACCTTCACACAGTGGAGGGTAGAGGTAGACCTTCACACAGTGGAGGGTAGAGGTAGACCTTCACACAGTGGAGGGTAGAGGTAGACCTTCACACAGTGGAGGGTAGAGATAGACCTTCACACAGTGGAGGGTAGAGATAGACCTTCACACAGTGGAGGGTAGAGGTAGACCTTCACACAGTGGAGGGTAGAGGTAGACCTTCACACAGTGGAGGGTAGAGATAGACCTTCACACAGTGGATGGTAGAGATAGACCTTCACACAGTGGAGGGTAGAGGTAGACCTTCACACAGTGGAGGGTAGAGGTAGACCTAAACACAGTGGAGGGTAGAGGTAGACCTAAACACAGTGGAGGGTAGAGGGTGACCTACACACAGTGGAGGGTAGAGGGAGACCTACACACAGTGGAGGGTAGAGGTAGACCTTCACACAGTGGAGGGTAGAGGTAGACCTACACACAGTGGAGGGTAGAGGTAGACCTACACACAGTGGAGGGTAGAGGTAGACCTAAACACAGTGGAGGGTAGAGGGTGACCTACACACAGTGGAGGGTAGAGGTAGACCTTCACACAGTGGAGGGTAGAGGTAGACCTACACACAGTGGAGGGTAGAGGTAGACCTACACACAGTGGAGGGTAGAGGTAGACCTTCACACAGTGGAGGGTAGAGGTAGACCTACACACAGTGGAGGGTAGAGGGTGACCTACACACAGTGGAGGGTAGAGGGTGACCTACACACAGTGGAGGGTAGAGGTAGACCTACACACAGTGGAGGGTAGAGGGAGACCTACACACAGTGGAGGGTAGAGGTAGACCTACACACAGTGGAGGGTAGAGGTAGACCTTCACACAGTGGAGGGTAGAGGGAGACCTACACACAGTGGAGGGTAGAGGTAGACCTTCACACAGTGGAGGGTAGAGGTAAACCTTCACACAGTGGAGGGTAGAGGGAGACCTACACACAGTGGAGGGTAGAGGTAGACCCACACACAGTGGAAGGTAGAGGGAGACCTACACACAGTGGAGGGTAGAGGTAGACCTACACACAGTGGAGGGTAGAGGGAGACCTACACACAGTGGAGGGTAGAGGTAGACCTACAACACAGTGGAGGGTAGAGGTAGACCTTCACACAGTGGAGGGTAGAGGTAGACCTACACACAGTGGAGGGTAGAGGTAGACCTACACACAGTGGAGGGTAGAGGTAGACCTACACACAGTGGAGGGTAGAGGTAGACCTTCACACAGTGGAGGGTAGAGGTAGACCTACACACAGTGGAGGGTAGAGGTAGACCTTCACACAGTGGAGGGTAGAGGGAGACCTACACACAGTGGGGGGTAGAGGTAGACCTACACACAGTGGAGGGTAGAGGTAGACCTTCACACAGTGGAGGGTAGAGATAGACCTACACACAGTGGAGGGTAGAGGTAGACCTACACACAGTGGAGGGTAAAGGTAGACCTACACACAGTGGAGGGTAGAGGTAGACCTACACACAGTGGAGGGTAGAGGGAGACCTACACACAGTGGAGGGTAGAGGTAGACCTACACACCGTGGAGGGTAGAGGTAGACCTTCACACAGTGGAGGGTAGAGGTAGACCTACACACAGTGGAGGGTAGATGTAGACCTACACACAGTGGAGGGTAGAGGTAGACCTTCACACAGTGGAGGGTAGAGGTAGACCTACACACCGTGGAGGGTAGAGGTAGACCTACACACCGTGGAGGGTAGAGGTAGACCTTCACACAGTGGAGGGTAGAGGTAGACCTACACACAGTGGAGGGTAGAGGTAGACCTACACACAGTGGAGGGTAGAGGTAGACCTACACACAGTGGAGGGTAGAGGTAGACCTACACACAGTGGAGGGTAGAGGTAGACCTACACACAGTGGAGGGTGGAGCCTGGAGGTGACGCACTTACCTTGCCGGCGCCGAAGGAGGCGACCCAGAGGTTGCCGTGTGTGTCGATAGTGAGGCCGTCGGGGAAGGCCGGGTGGAGCCCCGCCTCACGGTAGTCGAACACGGTGCGTCGCTTACCTGAGGCAGAGACCCACATGTGCCATAAGTCTGACTCTACTCCTCACTCGCCTACACCTGATCAATGTTGCTCTTTAACCCATCGTTATGCTTTACCCAGGAAAGTGTGCCATTCTCCACCCTATCCTTATCTGCCCATGAATCGTCTGGATCCGGGATTAAGGATAAATAGGAGCTAAATCTCATCTAACTCTAAAGTAGGACAAGGGGTAATTTCACATGTGTAAAATAGTTTTCATACATAAACATTATTACCAGCTGCATTAAGGAGAATTTTGACATTTTAACAATACCAGTTTCCGCGCAGAAGTGGAAAATGAGTTGGAAAAGCTTGGGAACCACAGCCTAGCGCCTCCCGTCGCTAATGTATATTGCTTCCTTCTTCTATCAGTAATGCCACGGCTTCTGCTTCCCTCTTCTACCACTACTTCCATGTCGTCTACTTCACTCTTCTATCATTAATTATATGGATTCTACTTCCTTCTATCACTGCTTCCATGGCTTCTGCTTCCCCCCAATTTACAACTACCTCTATGGCTTTTGCTTCCATATTCCACCACTATTTCAATGGTTCCCGCTTCCTTCTTCCATCATCACATTCATGATTTCTGTTTCCATATTGAACTGCTACTTCCATGGCTCCTGTTACCCCATTCTTCCACAGCATCCATGGCTCCTGCTACCCCATTCTTCCACAGCATCTATGGCTCCTGCTACCCCATTCTTCCACAGCATCTATGGCTCCTGCTACCCCATTCTTCCACAGCATCTATGGCTCCTGCTACCCCATTCTTCCACAGCATCTATGGCTCCTGCTACCCCATTCTTCCACAGCATCTATGGCTCCTGCTACCCCATTCTTCCACAGCATCTATGGCTCCTGCTACCCCATTCTTCCACAGCATCTATGGCTCCTGTTACCCATTCTTCCACAGCATCCATGGCTCCTGCTACCCCATTCTTCCACAGCATCTATGGCTCCTGCTACCCCATTCTTCCACAGCATCAATGGCTCCTGCTACCCCATTCTTCCACAGCATCTATGGCTCCTGCTACCCCATTCTTCCACAGCATCTATGGCTCCTGCTACCCCATTCTTCCACAGCATCTATGGCTCCTGCTACCCCATTCTTCCACAGCATCTATGGCTCCTGCTACCCCATTCTTCCACAGCATCTATGGCTCCTGTTACCCCATTCTTCCACAGCATCCATGGCTCCTGCTACCCCATTCTTCCACAGCATCTATGGCTCCTGCTACCCCATTCTTCCACAGCATCTATGGCTCCTGCTACCCCATTCTTCCACAGCATCTATGGCTCCTGCTACCCCATTCTTCCACAGCATCTATGGCTCCTGCTTCCCTCTTTTATCACTTCTTCCATGGCTTCTTCTTCCCACTTCTACCTCTACTTACATGGCCTCTACTTCCCACTTCTACCTCTACTTCAATGGCTCCTGCCTCCTTCTTCTATCACTACTTCAATGGCTCCTGCTTCTCTCTTGATGATGAGACTGAGTAGACAAGTGGTGTTGGGGAGGAGACAAGTGGTGTTGGGGAGGAGACAAGTGGTGTTGGGGAGGAGACAAGTGGTGTTGGGGAGGAGACAAGTGGTGTTGGGGAGGAGACAAGTGGTGTTGGGGAGGAGACAAGTGGTGTTGGGGAGGAGACAAGTGGTGTTGGGGAGGAGACAAGTGGTGTTGGGGAGGAGACAAGTGGTGTTGGGGAGGAGACATGAAGTAAATCGTGCCTAACATTACTGGAGCTGATAATAATAATACAGGACGGAGCGAAACATCGTCAGGGCTAATATTTACAAATGTTTGGGTTGGGTGTTTAGTTTAAAAGTGTCATGAATTTGGATAAAATCAACAAATATGAATTATATTTGGATAAAACATAATAATTTTGGTTTACTCGTCTATCATTACTGTAGCCAACTTTGCTTTTGATGTGAGATATTAATATTCAAAACAAAACATACCGAGCCTTGCGTTCTGGAAGTCACAGTCGAAAGCCTCGACCTTCAACTGAGAGGAGTCGACGTAGTAGAAGGTGTGGTGGTCCTCGCTCCACGCCAGGCCGTTGCTGATGCTGACCTGTGTACACGAGGGGGTCAGGCGGGCTGGGGTCAGAAGGACTGAGGGCAGCCTCTAAGAATTTCCCAGATCATTTACATGTCTACCTACGAGATATGAGCCTCTTATCTCGGGCATGTTGGCTTAGAAGGAAACATGAAGAAAATATACTGTCCTCACACAAATGTGGACCAGCGACCGTCAGTCTATGATGTTAACTTGTTAGCTTAACGTCGATAATAATTACTATATTATGATATAAACAACACGAAGTAAACTCACAATAATGATGAGCCTCTACACGACCTGATCCACTCAAGTCTTCTGTGACTGTATCAAATGGGACAAGTATATGACACATTTACCAAACTGACGTATAATTCCCCAGATTAATACTTCAATTAATAACTGATTTTATTCTGTGAAGAACGGTTCCATTGTAAAGAAGCATAGCAAGTTATCACCATTTGACTCCAAGATATCAACACTGCTCCAACAATACTGTCCCTTGACACGTCACTCATACTTTCCTAACTCAACACACAAACTTACACTCACCACAAGATCCTCCACCAATAGTTGCTGGGGGGGGGGGGGGTCTACCTACACCCGTGGGTCTGCTGGGTGGGTATGCCTACACCCGTGGGTCTGCTAGGTGGGTCTACCTACACCCGTGGGTCTGCTGGGTGGGTATGCCTACACCCGTTGGTCCGCTAGGTGGGTCTACCTACACCCGTGGGTCTGCTGGGTGGGTATGCCTACACCCGTTGGTCTGCTAGGTGGGTCTACCTACACCCGTGGGTCTGCTGGGTGGGTATGCCTACACCCGTTGGTCCGCTAGGTGGGTCTACCTACCCCCGTTGGTCCGCTAGGTGGGTCTGCCTACTCCCGTTGTGTCTGCTGGGTGGGTCTATCTACCCCCGGTGTGTCTGCCTACCTCCGTTGGTCTGCTGGGTGGGTCTATCTACCCCCGGAGTGTCTGCCTACCTCCGTTGGTCTGCTGGGTGGGTCTATCTACCCCCGGTGTGTCTGCTGGGTGTGTTTGCCTACCCCCGTTGGTCTGCTGGGTGGGTCTGCCTACCCCCGGTGTGTCTGCTGGGTGGGTCTGCCTACCGCCGTTGGTCTGCTGGGTGGGTCTGCCTACCGCCGTTGGTCTGCTGGGTGGGTCTACCTACCTCCGTTGGTCTGCTGGGTGGGTCTATCTACCCCCGGTGTGTCTGCTGGGTGGGTCTGCCTACCCCCGGTGTGTCTACTGGGTGGACCTGCCTACCCTCGGTGTGTCTGCTGGGTGGGTCTGCCTACCCCTGTTGGTGTGCTGGGTGGCTCTGCCTACCCCCGTTGGTCTGCTAGGTGGGTCTGCCTAGCCCGTTGGTCAACTGGGTGGGTCTGTTGGGTTGTTATGCCTACCGCCGTTGGTTTGCTAGGTGGGTCTGCCTACCTGGTGGTCTGCTGGGTGGGTCTGCCTACCTGGTGGTCTGCTGGGTGGGTTTATTTACACCCGTGGGTTTGCTGGGTGGGTCTGCCTACCCTCGTTGGTCTGCTGGGTGGGTCTGCCTACCCCTGTTGGTCTGCTGGGTGGGTCTGCCTACCCCCCGTTGGTCTGCTGGGTGGTTCTGCCTACCCCTGTTGGTCTGCTACGTGGGTCTGCCTACCCCTGTTGGTCTGCTGGGTGGGTCTGCCTACCCCCCGTTGGTCTGCTGGGTGGTTCTGCCTACCCCTGTTGGTCTGCTACGTGGGTCTGCCTACCCCTGTTGGTCTGCTGGGTTGGTCTACCTACCCTCGTTAGTTTGTTGGGTGGGTCTACCTACCCCCGTTGGTCAGTTGGGTGGGTCTGCCTACCCCCGTTAGTTTGCTGGGTGGGTCTGCCTACCCCTGTTGGTCTGCTGGGTTGGTCTACCTACCCCCGTTAGTTTGTTGGGTGGGTCTACCTACCCCCGTTGGTCAGTTGGGTGGGTCTGCCTACCCCTGTTGGTCTGCTTGGTGGGTCTGCCTACCTCTATTGGTCTGCTGGGTGGGTCTGCCTACCCCCGTTGGTCTGTTGGGTGCGTCTGCCTACCCTCCGTGTGTCTGCTAGGCGGAAGTGCCTTCCCCCGTTGGTCTGCTGGGGGTCTGCCTACCCCCCGTTGTGTCTCCTGGGTGGGTCTGCCTACCCCCGGTGTGTCTGATGGGTGTGTCTGCCTACCCTCATGGTCTGCTGGGTGGGTCTGCCTACCACCGTGGGTCTGCTGGTTGGGTCTGTCTACCATGTGGGTCTGCTGGGTGGGTCTCCTGGTTTGGGTGGACTCTACCATGTGGGTCTGCTATGGGTCTCTTGGGTCGCTCATGGCCCCTGGTTGGTCTGTCTACCATGTGGGTCTGCTGGGTGGGTCTCCTGGTTGGGTCTGTCTACCATGTGGGTCTGCTGGGTGGGTCTCCTGGTTGGGTCTGTCTACCATGTGGGTCTGCTGGGTGGGTCTGCCTACCCCTGTAGGTCTGCCTACCCCGGTGGGTCTGCCTACCCCCGTGGGTCTGCCTACCCCCGTTGGTCTTCTGGGTTGGTCTGCCTACCCCTGTGGGTCTGCTGGGTGGGTCTGCGTACCACCGTGGGTCTGTCTACCCCAGTGGTTCTTCTAGGTGGGTCTGCTGGGTGAGTCTGCCTACCCCCGTGGATCTGCTGGGTGTGTCTGCCTACCCCTGTGAGTCTCCTGGGTGGGTCTGCCTACCCTCATGGGTCTGCTGGGTGTGTCTGCCTACCCTCATTGGTCTGCTGGGTGGGGTGTGCCTACCCTCATGGTCTGCTGGATGGGTCTGCCTACCCAAATAGTTCTGCTGGGGGTCTATCTACCCTCATGGGTCTGCTGGGTTGGTCTGCCTACCCACGATGTGTCTGCTGGGTGGGTATGCCTACCCCCGTTGGTCTGCTGGGAGGTCTGCCTACCCTCCGGTGTGTCTGATGGGGGTCTGCCTACCCCCGTTGGTCTGCTGGGAGGTCTGCCTACCCTCCGGTGTGTCTGATGGGGGTCTGCCTACCCCCGTTCATCTGTTGGGTGGTTCTGCCTACTCCCGTTGGTCTGCTGGGTGGTTCTGCCTACCCTCGTTGGTCTGCTGGGTGTGTCTGCCTACCCCCCGTTGGTCTGCTGGGTGGGTCTGCCTACCCCCGTTGGTCTGCTGGTTGGGTCTGCCTACTCCCGGTGTGTCTGGTGGATGGGTCTGCCTACCCCCGTGGGTCTGCTGGGTGGGTCTGCCTTCCGTGTTGGTCTGCTGGGTTAATCTGCCTTCCCCTGGTGTGCTCTATACTTCCGTTGGTCTGCTGGGTGGGTCTGCCTACCACCGTGGGTCTGCTGGGTTGGTCTATCTACTCTCACGGGTCTGCTTGGTAGGTCTGCCTACTCCCGTGGTTCCGCTAGGTGGGTCTGCCTACCCCTGTGAGTCTGCCTACCCCGGTGGGTCTGCTGGGTGTGTCTGCCTACCCCCGTGAATCTGCTAGGTGTATGCCTACCCCCATGGGTCTGCTGGGTGAGTCTGTCTTCCCTCATGGGTCTGCTGGGTTGGGTCTGCCTACCCTCATGTTCTGCTGGGTGGGTCTGCCTACCCCCGTTGGTCTTCTGGGTGGGTCTGCCTACCACCGTGGGTCTGCTGGGTGGGTCTGCCTACGCTTTGTGTCTGCTGGGTGGGTCTGCCTACCCCTGTTGGTCTTCTGGGTGGGTCTATCTACCCTGTGGGTCTGCTGGGTGGGTCTGTCTACCCCCGAGGTTTTGCTCGGTGTGTCTGCCTGCCCCCGTGGGTCTGCTGGGTGGGTCTTCCTACCCTCATGGGCCTGCTGGGTGGGGTCTGCCTACCTTCATGGTATGCTGGGTGCGGTCTGCCTACCTTCATGGTCTGCTGGGTGGGTCTATCTACCCCCGGTGTGTCTGCTGGGTGGGTCTGCCTACCCGCGGTGTGTCTACTGGGTGGGTCTGCCTACCCGCGGCGTGTCTGCTGGGTGTGTCTGCCTGCCCCGTTGGTCTGCTGGGTGTGTCTGCCTACCCCTGTTGGTCTACTGGGGGGTCGGCCTATCCCCGTTTTGTTGGTCTGCCTACCCACAGTGGTCTGGGGTCGGCCTACCCCCGTTCGTCTGCTAGGTTCTGCCGACCCCGTTGGTCAGCTGGGTGGGTCTACCTACACCCCTGCTGGGTGGGTCGGCCTACCATGTGGTCTGCTGGGTGGGTCTCCCCGTTGGTCTGTCTACCATGGGTCTGCTGGTCTCCTGGTTGGGTCCGACCATGTGGTCTGCTGGGTGGTCAGCCTACCCTGTAGGTCTGCCTACCCCGGTGGGTCTACCTACCCCCGTGGGTCTGCCTACCCCCGTTGGTCTTCTGGGTCGGTCTGCCTACCCCTGTGGGTCTGCTGGGTGGGTCTGCGTACCACCGTGGGTCTGTCTACCCCAGTGGTTCTTCTAGGTGGGTCTGCCTACCCCTGTGGGTCTGCTGGGTGAGTCTGCCTACCCCTGTGGATCTGCTGGGTGGGTTTCCTGGGTGGGTCTGCCTACCCCTGTTGCTCTGCTGGGTGGGTCTGCCTACCCCCGTTGGTCTGTTGGGTGGGTCTGCCTACCCTCCATCTGTCTGCTAGGCGGAAGTCCCTTCCCTCATTGGTCTGCTATGGGGTCTGCCTACCCCAGTTGTGTCTGCTGGGTGTCTCCCTACCCCGGTGTGTCTGCTGGGTGGGTCTGCCTACTCCCGTTGGTCTGTTAGGTGGGTCTACCTACCCCGGTGGTCTGCTGGGTGGGTTTACCTACTCCTGTTGGTCTGCTGGGTGGGTCTGCCTACCCCCGTTGGCCTGCTGGGTGGTTCTGCCTACCGCTATTGGTCTGCTGGGTGATTCTGTCTACCGCTATTGGTCTGCTGGGTGGTTCTGCCTATCCTTCTGTTGGTCTGCTGGGTGGGTCTGCCTACCCCCGTTAGTCTGTTGGGTGGGTCTGCCTACCCCTGTTGGTCTGCTGGGTGGGTCTGCCTACCCCCGTTGGTCTGTTGGGTGGGGCTGCCTACCCTGCGTGTGTCTGCTAGGCGGAAGTCCCTACCCTCGTTGGTCTGCTGGGGGGTCTGCCTACCCCAGTTGTG